TATCATCGGTCCAGGCGCGCGCGCGATGCATTTATTTCGCTTTAAACTGTCTGCGGGGTGTACCATATACGAATGTACGTACGTAACGGGTCCGCCTTGCCGGGCTCATTTGTCAAACTCGCGATTTTCGTTTTTCTCCTCCCAGAGGCTATGTGTGCACGTATATTGCGCGCGTCTTGTTTCGTGGAAAAAATACGAGCTCGTTCGTGGCTCTCAATATAACATAATGATGCTTGTATGCAGCGCAGTGTATCGGTTATATTGTTTCCTCGCGATTGTAAATTTATATGCATTATAGGGAATTTGAAGGCTTCTGAAAAACTAGAAAAACTCGTGGCTACCGAAGCTTCGCGAACGAGAAAGAGAAGCTGAAAAAAAAGCCATACGTGCCTACTGCGTTCGCGCGTCAAAGTGTACAAGCGAAGGAGCAAGATCCCTTAATGAGTTTTCGCGGAACACGAGACTGGCAGCAACGGCAGCAGCAGCAGCAGCTCCCTCGCTTTCTTTCCTTATGGCTCGCGTCGACGTTTGTCGCGCATTGTTGCGGGCCTGCGCGGAGCCCCGAGTCGTATAGCTCCTCGCTCGCGAAACGTTTCTACACATAATACGATTGCAGAAGTGCCACAAGTCCTTCCCTCTTGTTCCTTTTTTCTCTCGTTCGCGCGAGCGTTTAAAAAAAAGGGCCTGCTGCATTTAGCACCGAGCGAGCGCGTTGGGCTCTCTTTGTTCGCGCCACGCACACACACGCACGCACGCGTTATAATGCATACGCAGCGTGACCCGCTTGCGGGGTGCATGTGCACACGAGTCGCTATATAATGCTCGCGGAGCAAAGCGAAAGAAAAAAAAAGCGTAAAACAGAGCGGCATATGTTCGCGAGCGAGTTGTATAGGAGATCGATTGACTCCGATCGCCCCAGCGATGAGTGATTTCTTTCTTGTGCATCGTAGCGGGTGTTTGAAAAAAAAAGAAAAAAATCAACCGAGCTCGTGCGCCTCGAGCGATGGATTAATGTCAGAGAAGATGCAGCCCGATGCGAGTGGGAGAGAAAGAACAAAAATAAAACGAGGCATTAGTCATCGTATTTTAGAATTAGAAAAAAGCTCACACACGAGATGCGCGTCTATATTTTTAGTCCACTCGAAAAAAATCATCGACTCGACGAAGTAATGATTGATGCAAGACTAACACAACGTCCAAGTACATGGCTTCGTCTTCTAGCTCTCGCATACAACACATAATATAGCCGAGTCTGCTCGTTTCAAACACACATCCTCGCGCGCTCGTCAAACATGTCATATTAACTCAGCTATTAGCCGTGTCGAACCCTTGAAACTCATTTCTATCCTTCTTTTTTTATTTGCGTCTGGAAAAGGTCATTCTCTGCTTTTTTACAGCTCGCGCGCTTGTGCAATGTTATTTTTTTTAACGATCTTATTATTGAGCCTAGACAGAGACTTACGCGTAATCAAAATAAAAAAATCAGTAATTATCTATGATTGGAATCTTTGGTCTGCAGAGATCACTTAGGTCGTAACCGTTTATCTTGCTGATGAGCTGCTTTGAAATGTATTAGCATTAATTTATTCTTGAAGGCAGCCAAATGGAAAGCCAATAAATGTATCTGTGGGCTATGAAAAATCCCATAAATCGACTCCAACTAAAATCATACATTACGAATTATCCATTATTCAGTACTCGCGTACTTTTGATCAGCAAACGTCTCTTTCACAATCGGCCCGTAATTCTGTAGGTAATCTCGCGAGGCCCCGAATTTGTCAGCACGATTTCGTGCGTGGGTACATATTACGGTATGCAGCAAAGGAAAACGCACGCACATGCATATATATATATAGAGGGTCGGGCGTGCGCGCGATGCAGCAGAAATGTAGAGCGATTTTACATCCGTTTATGGAAATGAGTTTATTGTCGTCGAAGAAGCATGAAGTTCGCGTACAGTTACATCGTATATAAGTCGCGAAACACCGTAACGCGTAGTCGTTCGGTCGGTCGTTTTTATTTTTTTATTAGCATAATTGTGCATGTACTCGTACATGTACGCGCATGAAAGAGAGAGAGAGAAAGATGTAATGTTCGTAAACAAAGCGTGCGCGTGCGTATATAGCAGTCGTATATGCGCTGAAATTTATTTCGGCAATTTCAGATTCTCATTTCGCGCGTATGATAATTAAAAATTTTTTACATGGCCATTTTATTAATTGCAAAAAGTCTCATTTCCGACGCCTCTCTCCTCTTCGACGGCTGATTTTTAATCCGCGCGTGCAGCTATATATGCGCGAATAGTCTTCGTCAGGTTGACATTGTAAAATTATTTCTGGCACATTGTATTAATTTTTTCTGACAGATCATGCATACAGGCGTACGTGTAGTTCTATGATTTATTACGCTGTTCCGATACTTTTTATGATATATTTCTCAACGAGTACATGACGTGTAATAAATGGAACCTTCATTCATTGTCGGTTGTTATGGAAATACAAAACAACCACGGGCTAATTAGCATGAGATTATTTTGTAATTTTATTTTTCTTCGCGCATCTCGCGGCGATTTGGCAATTTTGCAATTATCGTCGTCCCACGCAGATTTTAACGTCTGCATTCGAGCTGCAACAGCACATGCATATACGCAGAAGCCGTCGCGATTTCTCGACTTTATTTCGAGCTCGTCCATCGCGCGGCGTTATGCACACTCTCGTTCGTTAACAGTAGCATCGTGTATACACGTGCGTTGTGGCGCTTTGATAAATCTCCCTTTTACGTAACTATACTGCCAACGGATTTATCCAAGATCTCAGCGATAGAAATATCCCATTAGAAAAGTTCTTCGAGCTCCTAGCGCTCTCCAACAGTGTGTGTACGCGAACATTAACAAACTTTCTAAAACGCAACTTGGACGTTCATCGAGAACACATACGTGTATGTGTGCTCGAAGACGCTGACCGACCGAAGAACGAAAGTTTCACCGTTGTATACAAATCAATACGCGGAGCTTTGGAGCAAAAAAAATTTCGGCACACGAGCCGCTACTATATAGCAGAGAGCCGCGTTCCCAAGGGTTCATAAAGTCGAATATTTATATCGCATACATATGAAGGCGCGAGACCAAATCCGCTTGATCCCTCGGGAGTACGCGCGCACATATATATAACGTAAAATCACGGCGCATATATAGCACGCATGCGAGGAAGAAACTTGGAAATTTATTTCGCGCGCGCGAGTACGTATGCGTATTAGCCCAAGTTTAAAATTTATCGTCCTGCGCCTTCTTTTACGCGCGCGTCAGAGCAGCTATTCATTGTAAGGAATAATGGCTCGTGCACCCACGAGCTCCCAGTTTATAAGTAAGACGAAAATCGCTTCGACGAATCGGCTCGAGCGATTAGTTTCTGTGATTTTTTCAAACGATTCGATATCACCTTTTGGAATAGGCCATTAATAAGCCTATTTTCCAAACAAAAATATGTACGTTTCAGTGACGATGTTAGGTGTTTTTAAAATCAACATCTATCTGTTGTTTTGGCTCACTAATAATATGTGTACATAAAAGACTCGTGCGAAATGCAGCTCTAAAAACGCCGATTCAGCGCGATATATGCGTCGAGTCACGGTCCATTTCACTCGACGCGTGTGTTTACCTTAATGAGAAAAAAAATTTCGAGCTTCTGGTTTTTTGACTGAGATAATTTATAAACGTAGGCCTAACGATACACATATTATGGGACTTGCTGGTGTAGCATCGGCATCGCTACTTCTACGCTCATAAGTGCTTCGTTGTATATACACAGCATACACCAAACGAAGAAATCTCGCTGAGAGTTTAAAAGAGAGAGAAGAAGAAAGAAAGCGAAAGAGGAGAGAAAATATATTCGAATCACGAGCAGTGCATCGCTCGAACAGCGATTTTTTTTAACCGCTTAGGCTTTAGCTTCTTCGAGAGTTTAAAATCTAACGAATAAGGGCTCGGGTTTATACCTATGCCGAGACTCGGTGTGCGTTACTCGTATGCGTATACCGTTGCTCTTTTGGGCGGACCAACGCAACGCGCCGAGATCACCGAGCGTTTCCATGATATATCCTCGCCGCGGTCGACTCGATTATTTCCGAGCATTAAGAAAATACATGCGCGCCTAAAGCACCTCGTGAGAGCCGCTGCTCGCCGTCGTCACGTTCACGATGTTCGCTGCCAATCTAAGTGAGTGCGCGTACGTGCACGCGGAGCAGTGCAGCCGCTACATAGCCAGTGCTGCTGCAGCAGGGCCACGCCGACGCGAGTTTCATTTGGCTAAAACGTGCAGCGCTGCGGCCGAACGCGCGAGGCGTTAAATATTAATTCTATCATACCCCTAATACTCGCCCGTATAGACGCGAAAACGCCAAAAGTTTTCAACTCGGACTCGCTCGCAATGAATATCTCGTTATTCGTTTAATTATACACAGCCTGCGCCGTTACTGTATATATCTATAAGCGAACGTGTTATTTTAGCTGCGCAAAAACTAGCGTCAATAAAAAAAAAAGTATAGGAGTAGAGCCAGTCTAGCGAGCGGCGAACGGGGTAGAAAAAATGAAGCAATCCAACTCGAGCCATTCCTGCGTCTTTTAAAACTTTTAAAAATGTTTACTCCCCGCAGCAGCTGAAAGTCTATACGTGCACGCGTGTCGAGAGTTTGCCGTAAATTAACGAAATGCATGCGCCTCGAAAAAGAGTGCCACTTTTGGAAAGAAACGTGAAATTCACTTAAACAAGAGAAAAAAATCTCTTCTCTCTCTTTCTCCCTCTCTTTTTTTCTCTCGCCAAAGAAAACAATCAAATAAAACACAAATATACGCAGACACACGTGTGTACGTAGCAGAACCGCGTATGTAACCATTTAAAATCTTCATCTCGTTTCGCGCAGGCTCTTCTTCTCGTTTAATGTAAAACGAAAAAGCAAAAAATACCATTATAGCTAAAATGTGTGCTCTGCATTCTATGTTTCAGAAAAAAAAAGAGTGCCAACATGACGTCGAAAGCGAAGGCTGGAAATTGGCTCGTGTTACCGCTGTCACTGCTGCTGTTGCTGCTCATCGTCGCGGCAAATCTGGTTGCTGCCTCGGACTTCCGGCATATCGCCTTTGATGGTAAATTGATATTAAAATTACGCACTATACATTATACATTTACCGCTCTATCGTTCCTCGCGGGGCAAATGATTTACGCATCGTATCGATCATCCTACATCACTTCTATTATTTACACTACAGATATCTTTTCGCAAATTTATTATCAAAAGTTCACCAAGTAGATCCGGCTACACTCGAAGGGGGAGCGCGGAAAAAAATGGCATAAATCGCATAAACGTACATTATAATGTGTACCAGCCACGGTGTAGTATATAGGTTAAACCTGAATTATGATCAAACCGGCGCCTCGTGTGTATACGTTGTTAAAGCGACAAATACATTATGAGGCACAATGAAAATCCCGAGTTTTCTCGAGTAAGTGCATACTGTATATAGAGTAGACATAGCTCGGGAGTGAAAAACACAAATATTCCGCGTGGCTCGAGAGAGATTGCGATCTATTCGAGACCGAGTAATTGTTCGCAATTGAATTTCTTAATCCTCTCCCCCCTCCCCTTAACTTTTCCTTTATCTTCGAGCTTAAATTCACTTCGAGTATAGTGTAACAATTACCTAGGCTGTACATGTGTGTCCTTCGAAGGCAGTAAACTACACATCCAGATTGTAGCACATATAACATACACACATAAATGCCTTTCGCTTCTTTGATCTTTAAACGATTTTCATGTACGATATATATTTTATATTATACAATATTATCGTACGGAGGTGCGCCGCCGAGCGTTAAAATCTCTTTTGTATTTTCATTTCGCAGAAGATTACACGCGAGAGACAATATTCTCTCTCTGTATTTCTCTGGTCGTTGTCGGTGGTGTCTTGGCGAAGCGCAAAATCACGGCCGACGAGAGCTGCAACTCACGCGAGGTCACAGTGTCAATCGATTCGCGTCACACGTATACACGTGCTCCATACTCCTCTCTTATAAGTTTGCGTGCGTCTGTGTCTGTGTGTGCGAGCGCACATATATTGCGAAAGAGACGGAACTCCCGCGGTGCGTTTGGCTTTTCCTGCTAAGTCGTCGACGAGTCGTAGTTGGCAATATAACGTCGCACGTATATTACACGTACGACGCGTATACGCCGAGTCGCAAAAAAAAGAGCACATGTCGATATGCGATCTCTCGCGTCGTGAATAAGCCATATACGTGATCGAGCGAATTAGAGAGATGATCTCGAGATGGGAAAATTGCGCGTGTCTTTGAGCGCGCGGGCGAGCTTTTGTCTCGTTCACGCGATTTCAGCTGAAAAGTCTTTGCCTCGGTGATGTTCTCTCTCTCTCTCTCCTTTTTTCTCGAAAATTACGTATACGCGCAGTAAATCCCTCGGACTTTGCTTCGCGTGTTTTGCAGTTGACATTTTCATCCTTTGCGAAATGCACGTGCCACACACGGCTGCTTAGCTCACGGCTAACGAAGAATTACGCAATCGTATCAACGACCGCGCGCCAACGACGACGACGGCGACGTTCATTCGACCGAACGCGGAACGAGATTTTCGAGTACATATTTTAATACCGCAGTGCATGCATAATATTTATGCAAGATAAATAAACCTGTGACTCGAGCTCGAGGTAACGAAAAAAGAAAAAAAAGATAAACTTTTCCTCGAGAGCTCGTGCAGCTCGTTATAGTCGCGGCGTCAATATAAATTCATATACGTGCGTCGGATTTTCATTTGCATGGCAAGTCGTTTCGCACCCCGAAAATGTTTTCTAGCAAGTGTATTATAGCGCGTGCTGCTTTGCTTCGTGAAAGAGAGAATGAAAACAGCATGAGTCTCCCGTTGGAGGCGTTTTCAGGATTCTCTGCACGCGCTTGAATATAAATATTTTAACATTCTTCTGGCGGCCGTATACGAATTAACAAAAAAAAAAAAAAAGCGAAGACGATCGTCGTCCGAGACAAACAACATAAATGACGCTATAATGAGCCTTATCGATTCGATTGAATCTCTGGCGAAAATGAAAAAAAATGTTGCTATGGCAATGGATCATCTTTCTTATATTATGCGGATACGAGAGATGCTTGAATTGTTATTATTTATAGTCGTCGAGAGATAGAGGCCACCTTCGATGCTTGCGCATACATTTATAAATATAATATTTGAAAAAATTCGCACGAGTCGAAGATAGACATCGGTGACGGCGCTCTCGACTCGTCTCTGCATCTATAACTAGCCCGGGCATAAAAACAATTCTGTATTATAGCAGCTGATCAATTTGGCTTGTTATACACGCGGTAAAGAGTTCAATTAATAAGAAACGTTTCTGACATCGCATAATACGTTAACACGTGTTTGCTAAGTGTACTCGTGTGCGAACACTCATGGGTCGTCATTATTATACGAGGTCCGATAAATTTCGCACACGAGCACAATGAGCCTGATGACGTTCGTCCCATGTCATCGCAGCTGACCTTTTAAATAAAACCACACGACCTTATGGGAAAAGTGTCTCTTTCTCTCGGATGCGATCTTGGCGCAACCTCGCGAGGCGATTGACCTTGCCTTTGCTGCTGTATACTGCAGCAGATGCTATATGCATATTTAGCACGGGACGCAGTGCGAAGCAGGCGCTCCGCAGGACACGTGCACACACACGCACACGTACGTGTATAGGTTGGTTTTTTAATCCAAATCACAGGCGAATATCTGCCTTCTAAGCCATTACGTATAGCCATATACATACGGAGCTTACTCAAGCAAACTCGATAATTACCAACTTGATTATGTATGAAGTTATACGTGTAGACACAGGTATAAGCAACTAACACGCCGAGCACACAGTGCATCAGCAGCGAGTACATTATCATTATTATGTATCATAAAGCGTGGTAGCGTCTTTTACGTTCGAGCCAGTTTAATTAAGCCGTTTTAATATATTAAAGGCGCGCGCGCGCGAGCCCAGCGACGAGAAAGAGAGACGCTGCAGCGGAGAACGAGCCGTGCATAGCAAGCCTGTACTTTCCATATTATATCTGTAAAATATGTGCAGCGTCTCGAGAGTGTATGCTGCTGCTGCACGCGCGTATTATACACATATCCAAGGTGTGCATGTGGAGGCAGTCGGAGCGCGTGGCTCGCTCTCCGCAGCTTGTCTATTGGCAATTGCCGCGTTAAAAGCTATCTCTCTCTCTTTCTCTTTCAGCCAAGATGCTTTTTGATAAGTACCATCATGCGTACCCGCGCGTATTATAAATTTATAACGCCGCGACCGTCCCTATATGATATGCACGCGTGCAGAGGGCACGATTTATGGGCGACGCACATTTTGAGACGTGGTACGCGTCGTCGTCCACGACGTCGCCCTTATCACTTTTGGCCTAGCGAGCGAGGCGTCGCACGACAGAGGGACGAGGATCGATCCAATAAATAACGCAGTCCTGTGCCAATAAATTTTCAACAAGCGGAGCTAACGACTGATCGGTAATCATTTTACGCGCGAAAAACCTATCATCGCGTTTTTTATTTTACCGAGTTTCAGCGAAAGTTGATCGATATTTTTCCAACGAATATTTCTTCGCGCAAGTGCTTTATTTACTATAGGGTAGCGCTAGTCGATAATATAGTCGTTCGAGAGAACGAAATCGTACGAAAAATAAAAATGTTCTCGCGCCAAAAGCACAAAAATAAAATAAACATAAATTTTTAGGACTTTCATGAGATGCACTCGAGCATTAATTATGTTTCCTGGAAGAGACTTAAAAAAAATTAGCTCTCAAGGCTCTCGACCACTCGCACAAAAAGCTGCACAATCGTGAGCAACAACTGGCTCCGATCGCTGCTGCTGCCGAGCTTACTCCGTGTAAAGAAAGAAAATCAGAGACCAGCTACATACACGACATGGCCACGCGCAAAGAAAATCAATGTACGCCCTACTGGGCGTCTACTCTCTGCACATAAAGGTCAAACGTGATATCTTGCGTATTTTAAGCGACGCACACGCGCAGGGAGAGAAAATATCCGCGTCTTATAGCGCCGAGAGCCCAAAAGAAAGTGTTAACTCTGCCCGCTCACAGCAGGGAAAACAGAATGATCACTGCGTGCATACATACAGCCACCAGGAGCGGCGCACGTATGTATCGGTGAGGTCGCACACACGCCTAGGAAAATACGAAACACACATACACACACGCGAAGCTAGAATATAACGTCGTAAATCACCAGTTCGCGCCTGTAAATCAGCTCTCCGTAGTAGTGAGCGCCTGCAGGGCTGATGCTTTGCTTCGAGGAGGACTTTTTTCCTCTTTTTTCCAGCTTCATCGTCGTCGTAGTCTCTTCTTCTTTTGCTGCTGCTGCTGCTTCTTCTTCTTCTACTTCTTCTCGTGAGCTGCCTTATTCGATCTCTCTCGCTCGAAATAGGCAATTTTCCCTTTTCTTCCTGGTCAGCAGCAAGCCCGAGTCTGACCCTGAAATACCCATATCTATCTGTGCAAATGTGTTCTCTGGTAATTTTTTTTCATTCGACTTTCGGGCCGCGTATCCGCGGGGGAGTATATACGAGCATCGACGATGTTACTATTTATAGGAGATTTATTTATTCGTTCGAGTCATAATTTTCGAGGCATATACACGATCGGCGCGCAACGATAGGCGAATAAAGTCGGTGAAATCGAGCAAAAATATATATGCTGCCATGTAACGAAAATTCACATTCGATTTTCGTGCATGTGCAATTTGCGCGAAGCTGCAAAAACCCCAACGAAGAAAGACGCGTCTGCATCAAGTCAGTCCGAATATAGCGTTTATATTACTTTCTAAAATTAGCCGTAAGTCGGGGGCTGGCTTACATGCGTGAAAACGATTTGTGTATATGCGTGTGTGACGCGAGCGGATCACCAGCTGCTTCTCCCCCTAAACAGCTTCGCTCTCTCTCTCTCTCTCTTTCTCTCTTTAGCTCCCGACCCCGTCTATTCTGCGATCGTTTGTAATTTCGACGAAAGCGAGCGTATCTTGCTATTTAGAGAGACGGATCGAAAAACAAAACATAAAAATAATGAT